CTGTTTACATTTCTTCAAGGGAAGATGATGCACATAACCTCTAAGAATTTTATCATCATTAAGGCAGTTAGAAGGAGCCTACTTAGACAGAGGGCTTTGAGTGTGAGCCTATTATATTGGGATGGTCTCAAAAAAAGAATGAGGGAAAAAATGGAAGGGTGAGAAAATGGGATGAACTGGGAAAAGGGGGGAAGGGAAAGGAAGAATAGGGAAAATTATCTCACATAAAAGAAGGAGGATGAGAAGAAGGAGAGCCTCAGCCACCCCTTAGCCCAAGAGAGTCCATGTTTGGACTCACTGGTGTTCCCAAAACAGCAGTAGCTGGCAGCAATGCCTACACTGGGATCTGAGAACAAATTAGACACCCAGAGGAAAAGCTTCTGGACCCTACAAGAAGCACAACAAAAAAGCTGTACCTGAGGGGATCTTCATCAGTGTCCCCACAAAAGGGAGAAAAGGATTTCCAACAACCAAGAGTTGTGAATCATCCCTTTGCAACATGGGCTTTCTAAGTCTGAGCTTATTTTCCCCTGGACTCTGTAGGTACTGGTGGAAGGCTGTGTCACAGATTTTTTTTTTTGGAAGGGGTGGGGGTAGGGGAAGGAATGTTTTGAATCAATTGTTCTTACACCTTACTTGATGCAACTCTCTAAAAACTAGTTTAGTCTAGCATGTGTAGATAGCACACATTGGGACAGGCTTGGGCAGGGCCTGGTGGGTTGAGACTTATGGGGCTTCCAACGTGAATGAAATAAATGAAAAACTATTAAGTACTTACTATGAATGAAGTGCTAGGATAACCTTTTGGGAGTACAAATAGAAAAAAAATAACAATCTTCTTGAAATAGATCACAAGGAAATCACACTAACGTATAGATAATGCATATAGGAGGGTTCAGAGTGAATGTAGTGTCCGCTCTACAGAGTGGAGAGCCTGGAGGGAACTGGTCAAAAGGGAGGAAGGGTTCCCCAAATGATAAATGGTCAAAGGATATGAACAGGCAGTTCTCAGATGAAGAAATTAAAGCTATCCATAGTCACATTAAAAAATCTTTCTTGTGGTTCCTGCTATTGGTTCTAATTCTTCCTAACAACATGACTAATGTGAAAATATGTTTAATAGGAATATTGTGAACCGTCTTGGGAAGGGAGGTGGAGAGTGGCATGGAGAAAAATTTAAAAGTCAAAAGCTCATGGTAGTGATTGTTGATAACTCAAAATAAATTTAAAGAATAAATAAATAAGTAAATAAAAAGGAAGCGGGCCTAGGGCAGAAATTCCCTCCAGAATTCCTCTAGCAGAGATGGGGATGGGTGATCACTACCTAGCCAAGAAAGGAAAAAAAGATGGAGGAATTGGAAGAAAAGGGTAGAAGATATGACTATGGCAGAATGGGGCAGTCCCATGTGGCAGCTCCAAGCCCTACATGGTCCTGTCCCTGATGTAGTCTGGATTCTACTATCAGTGCCTTTCTGGAGTCCTAGATGGGATAGCTAGTTCTTGGTCTTCCTCTCTGGCAGCTTTCAAAGTCTTAGCCTGGAATAGGGACTCCCTGCCCTTTGCCACAATCCCTTGTTTCTGCCTCAATTCCCCGGGGGGAGCGGGGGGAGAGGGGCAACTGGGGCGCTGGTCTTGGCCTTGTCTCCATTTTTTTCCCCACATAATCACTATGTGGGAGTTGAATTTGTCCCCTACTGAGGCCCTCGAAGGATACTGGATGTTAGAGATTACACTGGTTTCAGTCCTCCATCTCCTTGGTTCCCCATGTGGCCAATAAATATTGGCCATTGGTTAGGTTCAGGCACCCTGGAACCAGGTCTATTTCCCTGGACGGTCCTTTTTACAGGCGTCTTCTATCCTCTAGGAGCATCCACTAGGTTTCTGACTTTCTTGTTTCAGGCCTGGACTGGATGGAGAAACTTACTGATGTTTCCTATTGGTCTTACTGATCATTGTTTCATCTGGTACCCTTTTAGATCTTCGATAAGGAGTTTATTAACCAGACTTCCCACAGCAAAAACCTTTTCACATTACCATCTTAACTGGAAGTCCCTTCTTGATAACTTGTTGATGAAGTCTCGTTTCTATATTACCTGGGGTCAACAAAAGTAGATGACTCCTGACTTCACCTACATAGAGGGCTGGTCCTGCCCACGCCAAATTCTTTGTCAAAATGACATTTTTTTTAAAGTTTTCAAATGTTTAACTCTACTTGTATAAGTCAGTGTATATCTTGTAGTGTTATAATGTAGTGATGTAGTGACATATATTATTTTAAAACATAAGATCAAGGCAAAGAATTCAGTTAAAACAAGGACTAACCACAATTCCAGAGGAGTCATAATGAAACATGATACTCAACTCCAGATAGAGGAGTGGTGGCCTCAGAAAGCAATCTGAAGCATAGTGAGGTTTTTTGGAAATAGCTAATGTGGAGATTTGTTTTGCTTGACTATACATGTTTATTAACAGATTTTATTTTTCTTGCCTTATTAATGGGGACTAGAGGCAAGTATGAGGGAGAGAATCTGGAGCTGAAAAGTAAAATTGATTTTTTTAAGAATATAGTTAAAAATAATAATAAATTCTATTATATGCATGCATGCAGGTAGTCTCTATTTGCACAAATAATGAATCCTCTGAAGTAGTCATATTATTCAAATTTGCACTGCCTATTTCCATTGGGTTGAAACCAGTTACCACAGTTTACATAATTATAACTTCAAATAGTTCAGAATCAAATAAATGGGGACTACTTCATGGTATTCATTCTCCATATTTATTAGGCCATAGCTATATACACAAGGAGGATCAGGGAAACAAGGGCCCTGTAGTTTGTATGTTTAAAAAATCATTAGACAAATATTTTGGGGCTCTGTTAAAATACATAAGGGAACCTAAAGACATGTCCTTTGCAATATCTGACACGGTCAATCACTCTTTTTTTGATAATCTCTTCTTTCTGGGTTTTCATGACATTAGTCTTTCTTTATTTTCCTGCCACCTACCCGCCCAGTCTCAGACTCCTTTGATGGATCTTCATCCAAGTCATACCCACTAACCATGAGTGTCCCCCCCCCTCCCCCACGATATATTCTGGGCCCTTTTCTCTTCTCCCACTATACTATTTCAGTTGCTCTCATCTGGTCCCTAGGATTCAATTATCTCATCTCTATGATCTATCCTAATTGACTTGACTTTACACATTGTATGTGCTTAATAAATGGTTTTTCATCCATTCTCTATTATTTGTCTCACATTTTCTTTTCTTATGCTCTTGAGACGAAGTTTAGCATAACAGTTAGAGACCCCCTGGAATTAATTACAATCTCTCCATTAGAATGCAAGATATCTACAGAAGAATGGAAGGTAATCTCAAAGAGAAGGCCCTAGCTGTGGTATAGACTGAGAAAAGCCCCCCAAGGACTTCTCCCTGCTGGAGCCTTCCCTTCGAAATTACCATCCCTTTACCTACATAAAGCACATAATTCTTCACTTGCTGTCTCCCTATTAGAATACAAGCCATGGAGAGAGTAAAAAGAAAGTCATTTCAATCTAGAGAGCAGCCTCAGAGCCAGAAGGCTCTAGCAGTGGGGAGGGACCCTCTCTTCAGCTGGAGGCCTTTCCAGGTGCTTCCTACTGTACCTTCCCTCTGAGACTGACCTCTTAATCTCTCTAAGACAGCACGTGAATAATTATATACATACAAGATAAATACCAAATAAAGGGAAAGTAATCTCAAAGACCAGGTTCTCCTAGGGGAAGCATTTGGGGGCTTCTCTGGGCGTCATCCCTCTGAGATTATCTTTACCCTCCCTTGCATATAAGGAGCACCTAGGTAGCTTAGTGGATAACATGCTGGGCCTGGAGTCAGGAAGATCACGAGTTCAAATTCGGCCTCATCCTTAACTGGCTGTGTGACCCTGAAAAAGTCACCTAACTGCTTCAATTTCCTCAGCTGGAGAAAGAAACTGCAAACTATTCCTGAATCTTTGCCAAGAAACCTCCAAAAGGGGTCACGAAGAATAGGTCACGCCTGAAACACCACAACAGAAACCTCGGATACATAGGTTTTTGCTTCTGGGGTCCCCCATTAGAATGTTATGACCCTGAAGGCAGAGAGCGCATTTGCCGAAGTCTTTCCATTGCCTTCCCTTAACACATTGTCCGGCACACAGTAGGAGCTTAATTACTGCTTCTAGGTGTAATTAGTCCTTCTAGTCGAAATGCACTTGGTGTATATTTTTTGCACTTCTAAGCGTTAATTTTTATTTTTTTTAATCTCTTTTAAAAATTCGATCTCAGAATCTGCGCATTCTTAATCCTACAACTCTGGGCTCGGGGCGCGGTTCCTTCGCTTTCTCTCTCGCCCCCTTCTGTTTTTCACCCACACAAAGGTCTCGCGCTCCTTGCCAGCGCGGCAGGTGCCCGCGCCCCTCCCCCCCGTCAGCCCCGCCTCCAGGGAGGAGAGCGCACCCAACAACACCCCTCCCGCTCCTCACTCCCTCCTCCACCCCCGGCAGGTGCCCGCGCGCCTCTCCTCCCGTCAGCGCCTCCCGGGAGGCGCGTGCACCCAGCACCCCCTCCCCCACCCCGCCCCCGACAGCCTCACATAGCCAGCCGGCCCTCCACGTAGGCATTCTGCCGGCTCGCCCTGAGCGGGCTGGGTAGACTACATCCGGGTCGTCCCCCGCCCCTTTTCCTTCAGTAATTTCGCTCACTTCCTGCAGTTTCCGGTCTCCTCCTCCGCCGCCGCCGCGGTAGCTTCGCCCCCTCCCTCACCTGCCCCCTCACCTCCTCTCCGTCCGGGTCTCTCCCCCTCCCCCACCAGGCCCGCCCGCCGCTTCCGGCTCCCCCCACCTGCTCCCGGGCTCGCGCCTCGCCGAGCCGTTTCCCGGGGAAACCCGGGGCTGCCCTGCCGCCCGCCGCCGCCGGCTCCCGGGGCCTCGAAGCCTCCGGGCCTCCTCCGCAGTGGTGAGCCCTCGGGGGAGCGGGGAGGCCGGGACCGGGCTCCCTCGGCTTTGTGTGTGTGTGTGTCCGTGTGTCCCGCGCAGCCCCGTCGCCGTCGTCCTCCGGCCGCCCCCAGCCCGGGACATGCCTCGGCCGGGGTCGGCGTGGGCGGCCGCCCTCCTGCTGCTGGCGCTGGCGCTGGGGCCGGGCGGCTGCTCAGAGATCACCTTCGAGCTGCCCGACAACGCCAAGCAGTGCTTCTACGAGGACATCACCCAGGGCACCAAGTGCACCCTCGAGTTCCAGGTACCGAGGGCGGGGAGGGAGCCGGGCCGAGCAGGCCGGAAGGGCGTACAGCCCCCCAACCCCAGGGTCGGGAGCCCGCCCTCCAGGAAAGAACGGGGGCTGAGTCGGGGTCCGGTGTAGGCGTGAGGAAGACGCACCTTGGGGGAGGAAGAGCATGGATCGAGGATGAAATGCAAATCAACCCAACAAGCATTTATTAGGCACCTACAATATAAGATGAAGACTTAGAGCAAGTCATTGGGGGAGGGGAGAGAAGGGGTAGTGGATGATTCAATTCTTAATATATTCCATATCCGTAAAGCGTATATGCACTTGTATATTCACGTAGTTGATCTCCATCAGTCAGTAACCCACTTATTAAGCGTCTGCTATGTTCCAGGCACTGTGGTAAGCGCTGCGGATACAAAGAAAGGCCAAGGGCAGCCCCTGCCCTAAAGGAGCTCGAAGTCTATTGGGGGTGTCGGGGAGAGGGAGACACTTACTTGCCAGCAACTTTGTACAAACTAAGAACTTGTTAAGTCGTCTCAGTTGTGTCCGACTGTTCGTGACCTCTTTGGGGTTTTCTTGGCAAAGACACTGCAGTGGTTTGCCATTTCTTTCACCGGCTCATCTTACAGATGAGGAAATTTAGGCAAACAGGGTGAAGCTGTTTGCCCGGGGTCAGGCAGCTAATAATGGTCTGCAGCCGGGTTTGAACTTGGAAAGGGCTAGCACTCCATCTACTGTTCCACCTTTGTTGTTCAGTCTTTTCACAGTTCATTTGGGTCATCTAGCAGAGTCCCCCAACGAGGAAGACCAGAGTTCAAATGTGGCCTCTGCTGTGTGAGCCTGGGAAAGTGACCTAATCAGTTTGCCTCAGTTTACTCATCTGTAAAATGTGGATAATAAGATTACCTCCTCCTTGTTTTGAGGATCAAATAAAATAATAATATATATGTGCCTGGCACATAGTAAGTAATGTAGACATTAGCTACTGTTATTATAATAATACACATTTTTTTATTATAAAAGTCGGGTAGACCTGGGTTAAGATTTGCCCTCAGACTCTAGCTGTGGGACCCCTGGCAATTCATTTCACCTCTGTTTGTCTCATTTTCTTCGAATGTAAAATGAGGGTAATAATAGCAACTACCTCCCAGGGTTGTTGTGAGGATCAAATGAAATACTTCTAAAGTGCTCACTTAGCACTGTGTCTGGCACATAGTAAACATTATATAAATGCTTCTTACTACAGGATAAATTGAAAATAATCAAAAGAGGGGAGGCACTAGAATTAACCAGGCATCCAGAAAGTCAACAAGCATAAACTATGTGCCACTGAAAAGCTCTTGGCATACCAAGAAAGCTAAAAAGAGTCCCTGCCATCAAGGAGTTTTCAGTCTCTAGTGGGGGCAACTTGAAAAGGACTACTTAGAGATAGACGTGGATACATTAGAGATAATCTCAGCAGCAGGGCACTAGCATTTAGAGGGACTGGAAAAGGCTTCTTGCCAGGAGGTAGGTTTTAGCCAATACTTTAAACTCATGGACTCCTCTGGAACTTTGGTAAAGCCTACGGTCCCCTTCTCAGAATCATGTTTTTAAAGCATGAAACGAAATACATAGGATGACAAAAGAAGCTAATTGAAATACAGTTATAAAAACTTTTTAACATTAACAGACCCCAGTGTATTTTCTAGTTCTAGGTAGCTCATTGATGGCCTCCTTCCCACAGTTGTGTTACAACCTCAACTCTGATCTCCCTAAGCAGATTCATTCTTTGGGTTTTCTTTAACTTCCTGGTTTCCTCACATTTCCAATTTATTTAATTATTAGCAGCAGCTTCAGTAGTTTGCTGAAGAAAAAAAGCAAGAAATAATTTTCATTTTGTAAACCTTGAGTGAAGACATTCGAATCCAGTAGTTAGAGTCAAATTTGGATAGTTTGGATTCTGACCCTGCCTCTAACTAGAGATAGTTGAATTAATTGAATAACCTTTTCCTTTAAACCCTTACTAAAGTTTTTTCTACTTGAGAATTAGACTTCAATGCTCTCCCTTCATATTGTTATTACCCATCTTTCTCCCCAAATACCTTTAAATGGTAATCAACGTCTAGTTGGTTTTATAGTTCTCCATTTCATTTTATTGCAGTGAGATGTAACCAAAGTGAAGTCCATTAGTCCAACATTATATGAAAGAGCACTTCTTTGTATAATAGGTGCCTTTCTGAAAAAGTGTCTAGGTCACATTCTTGTAAGTAGATGATTTTAGGTTGATAGCCTTGCTTTTAAAGAATTTCCATTTTAGATTTTTGTTAAATATATTTAAAAATTGTGGCTTCATAATCTTATTTAGAAAGATTAATCAAGCAGTAGTATATAGAGTCACTTGATTGAAAAGGGGAGATGTTGGAATGCTTTTGATATAGTATACTTTGATATCAAAGTATGCTATAGTGCTCCTGTGGGTATTAGAAGAATACAGACTAAGTGGATTCATAAATGGTTCAAAGAATGTTTTGATGGATTTTTGTCAGCCTGTACTAGCAAAGTGGGGATTTCTCTAGTGATATGCCTTGGGAGTCTACTCTTGCAACCTAAACTACTAAACATTTTTATTATCAAGTTAAGATATAGAAGATATGCAATTCAATCTTCAAATGACAAAAAACCCAGGTGGTTATTTCATGGTGATTGATAATAATTCATTTTTCCTATATTTAGTTGTTTGCCTTTTCAATGAGGGTGGGTGGGGAGGGAAGAAGAGAAAAAATTTGAAACCTAAAGTTTTAAAAACATATTTTAAAACAATGTTTTCACATGCTACTGGGAAATACGAAATACAGGAGATGTGGTATAGAAGTCTATCCTGCCCTACAGGAAAATAGAAGGGGAAGGGGATAAGAGAAGGGGGGAGAGATAGAAGAGAGGACAGACTAAGGGAAGGGATATTCAGAATGCAAGCCATCTTGGGGTGGGGGGAGGGGGGAGATGGGGTGAAAATTTGGAACTCAAAAACTTGTGGAAGTGAATGTTGAAAACTAAAAATAAATAGATTTATATTTAAAAGAAAAAAATAATAATTCATTTTTGAACTTTCTCCAGCCTCCTCACTTTAATCAGAATCTGCTAAATAATAACAATAAAGTATTGTATGACAGTTTGAGATTTGCAGAGTACTTTATATATGTTATCTAATCCTCACAACAGTCTTGTAAGGTGAGTGTTATTATCCCCGTTTTACAGATGAGGAAATTGAAGCTAAGAGACAGAAAGTTTCTGAGGCAAGATTTCATCTCGGGTCTTCCTGTCTCCAAGGCTACAGCTCTCTCCCTTGTACCACTTAGCTGCCTACTTTTACTCTTATAGCATCATTGAATGCCTTTTGGATATCTCAAACTATGCCCCATAGGCATCTCAAACTCAGTCTGTCCAAAACAGAACTCATTAACTTTTCCCCAAAGCCCTTCCCTCTTTCCAATTACTATTAAAGATATACCATTCTTCTAGTCACCTAGGCTTGAAACATGGGGTCATCCTTGAATCCTCACTTGAATTCACCCTGCATAACCAATCTACTGTCAAATCTTGTCATTTCTACCTTCCCTTCTCTCATACCTTCCAATCCATCCTCCATTCAGCTACCAAAGTGATTTTCCTAAAGTATAGGACCATGTCACTCACCCGTCCACTTAACAATTCCAGTGGCTCCCTGCTACCTCCAGAATCAAGCTTAGCATTTAAAGTTCTTCAGAATCTGGCCTCTTCCTACTTTTCCACTCTCCCTATACTTTATTCTCCTCCAAATACTTTATATAGTGCAGTCACACTGGCCTACTTGCTTTTCCTCACACATGACACTCCATCTCTATGCATGGAATGCTCCTCTTCTTACCTCTGCCTCTTAGCATCCCTGAGTTCAAATCCAGTGTCAGGCACTTGATACGTACTAGCTGTGTGACCCTCAGCAAGTTGCCCCAACTGCCTCACACACACAAAAAAAGAGCTCTAATCCCACCTTTACAGGAGGCTTGCTAGTGCCTTCCCTCTAAGAAGATTGTCCATCTGCTCTGTCATATCTTGTATTTACCTAGATATTTACATAGTTCCCCATTAGAATGTGAGTTCCTTGTGAGCAGGGAAAGGAGTTTTTGTTTTTGCTGTCTTTGTATCCCCAGTGCTTAATAAGGGTGCCACATTCACATTAAGCCCTTAGTAAATATTTGTTGACTGTAACTTACCTGAAGATACACATCCCTACTAATAACATTTGAAATGGCTCTATAATGTTTTGTTTCTAAACCATTTTGCATAGATTATCTTATTTAGTCTCTGAACAACCCATGAAGTAAGTACTATGGGTGGTATTACCCATATTTTACAAGTGAGGAAACACACTTAGGTTTAATTGACTTGCCCATGGTCACACAACAAAGTGTCACAGGTGAGATAAGAACCCAAGTTTCTCCTGATTCCAAATTCAGCATTCTTTCTACTATACAATGCTGTATCTCTTGGCAGCATTGCTAAACCCTATATTGGTGTCTCTATTTTCTCCCATACCCTCCCGCTTTACCAGACAAGGAGAAATTGGTATAGGCTACGGGTGTGGCATATTTTTTTTTGTTTGTTAGAATGCCAGGAATCAGAAATTTACGTTTTCAGGCTGCTTGCATTATTAGTTACTTAAAGAGAAAGGGAAGCCAGAATGCTCCTCTCAGTCCTGGTTGGGAGAAAGCAAGGAAGGCCTTTTTAAGTGGATCCACTGTGGTAAACTTATAAAGAAAAGTCTCGTAGGAAGGACAGGCATTGGGTAGGCTTCAAGCCTGCATTATTGTAGGGACTCCCAAAATGATGAGGTCACTTCCATTTGAGTAATGTATATAAAATACATGGCAAACCTTAAAGTATTAAACAGATGTCAGCCCCCATCATTATTGCCTCCAACTAATCCTTGGTGGTTTGCTTTCATTCTTATGTATTTCTAATATGAATAATTGATTCAGTAACTATTATGCTAG